CCCCAAAACCCCAAAACCCCAAAACCCCAGAGAACGAATATTATAATTTAACGAATAGATTAATCAATAAGCAAATATAAAATTTAAATAAATGTCAGTTGCTAGAGAAGCCAAATAAAAAGAGTGGTTCTGTAATATATTTAACACAACTCAAGATAGACAGGAGTGTCAGCTGTTCACCCGCAAAAAGAGACAAGATAATGAATCAGATGGTTAAGTGAGTAGATCGGCGTCAAGATCTGCTTATGATATGAGTGGAGATAAAAGACAGGATCTCTTTTACAAAAAGAAGGAAGGTGGGTTATTCCTCTACGAGAGTGCAAGTTCCAGAAGTCTCAATGCTTCACCAGGTTTCGGTAGTTCCAAGAGAGTCAAAGATTCCTTGAGCATGCAAAAAATACTCCAGCCTTACTTGGCCCTCGATGTGATTAGAAAGACTAAAGAGGGCTTGAAGCCAAATCTAGAATTCAATAACTCATCCAGTCAGAATAAAAATGAGAAGACTTCTCACTCTAATGGCAGAATTTGCGGTACCACGAGAAACATCTAAAATCCCTATTCCAGTGAAATTAAAATTGAAAGATAGCTTGCTAATGTGGAACATGGGAAGACAATGGATAATAGATATCAGCTCAAAATGGACTCAATTAAAGAAGAGGATAACAGCATTTTCAAGGGCTTAGGCAACAATCACAACAAATCAATGATCCAGGCGGCAGTGTGCCAAACTACCAAATCTCAGAGAAAAGATATCAATTTGACCACATCTGACTGCAGTCCAATCAATAGCAACTCTAGGCATATGCAAAGTATTCTTCAACAAAATTAGCCAGCATTGAAGCAATTCAAGCCAGTATTATAAGACAGATAAAACTACACTCAAGGAGAAAGCTAAAATGGATAATAAAATAAAAACCAAAGTCAAACTAAATTTACTCCCTATTTTGTAAGTTTCATAAATTATTTTTAACAACCTATAGATGCATGTATTGAACAATTCTAAGCATGAAAATCATCTAACATCAAGAAACTTCGACCATTGCAGGAAACCAAGTAATCTATCGAAATCTATGATATATTAAACGAATCAAGATTAGAATGAGTGCTAAGATACGACAGTCTTTAAGGGAATCGGTCAAAATCATTAAAAAGATATGGATAGGTCATAGGGTCGTGATATTGGTAGCAAAGACAAAGGTTGTGAGAAATAAAGATTCTAGATTTCATCTGCTCATGACTGGAAAACTGAGATATTCAAGGCATCCGCATCAGACATAAATCCTAAAGAAATGGTTCAATAGTAGTAAAGATCTTAATTGGACTCAAATGATCTTGTCAGCACACTTAAAACTACTGAGATATTCTAGAAGTAATTTGGCCAAACTGGAGAACTTAATAAGGAGATATTAAAGCCGGGGTATCTTGAGACTAATTGGGAGAAATACTAAAAGAATGAAGTTATGGATGAGAAGAATATATAGATACTGAGCCTTAATATTCAATAACTACCTGAGGGGGATGAGAGAGACATCATAAAAACCTTGTTTAAAAATTAACATGTCATTTCATTGAAGAAGGATACTAACAGTATCTCTGGTCTCTCTAGTGGCTCAGGGAAAGTTTAACTTAGGTGCAAGGATAGGGTTCAAACCACCTAGATCCTTTAAAACTTGAATAATAAAGGTATCAAATTTGAAGTCTAATCTGCCAAAAATCCTCATGATATCACTGTAGATCATTCAAACGACATCAAACGCAAGGATCTTGAAGATGTCTAGAAAAATACCTGGCTTAAAAATCTGAACAAAGAGGAAAAAAACTAGTATGCTTTGATCTAAAGCTGTATCAACAGATCTACCTCCTAGGGTAGTCTAATGGAAATTTCAGCCTGCTTGCAAAATTAGAAGAAAGCAGGCAAGAGTTAGGTTAAAGTGAAGGAATATAATGATAACTAGTATGGGTCTTGCACAGGCACCACAAATTATGCCTCGTCTTAATAGAATAACAGGTCATTCGTGGAATATCTAAGTTCTAGAAGCATCAATCACCCTTTGATGGCTCCGTCACATAACATGTCTTAAATAATTCAGAATACTAGCATTGATGATGGGCATAGCTATCTCTGTAGATCTATTGAAACTGCTGGATTTAACTCGATTAATCATAAGCAAGTCAGCACTCCAAATAGACTGAATAAATCCAAGGGTGTCTTTGAAAAGAACAAAGAAAACTAACAGTAGTTTATGATAAAAAATTAAAGCATGGCCAAACTAAGTACTGCTGCCAGTCAAGATCATAGCATATCAGTACCTCCAAAGGTTTAGAGCTTTAAGAAGTAATAAGAAATGATTCAGAGATTGACAACTCAGAATGCTCCTCAAAGTAACGAGAAATAAGTGTTTTAATAGAGAACAAATCATCTAAATGTGCAAAATAATGCTAGCTCTAATGGTGTAAATGGCAAGTAATAACCTGGCAAATCACCTAATGTTTCATCTCTTAATCCAAACAGCTCTTTATTAAAACCAACTTAATCATCAAGAGGAAAGAGAAACTTTATTTGATATTTGTGCAATAATAATATTGAATTTAATATATAATTATAATCTAAAATAGTTGATAGTTTTTTCTAATTTTCACTAATGACTGGGGAACTAGCAAAATGGGGTTTTGGGGTTTTGGGG